TAATCTAAAAGTGAATGATTTCTAACCGTTATAATATTATTACCACTACCTATACTTCATAATAATAAAATACTAATATTATTTATTTTTATTTTTTTGTATTTGTTAACAGTTGAAGCTTTAGTTTATTGGAGAGATCCTATATCATCAGGCATTGTTTTTGGTGCCACATTAGTTGTATTGCTGTCGTTTGCGTATATGTCACTAATTAGCGTAGTCGCTTATCTGGCCATGTTCATTCAATCTGGATGCATTCTTTTACGTCTGTACAAAACCGCTTTACAGACAGTCAATAAAACTAATGAAAGTCATCCATTCCAGTATGTATAAAATTTATCTATAATAATAGTTATAGTATTATATTTATTTGTTTGTACTTTATAGAGAATATCTTGACTTGGATATCAGGCTACCWCAGGAAAAAGCCGAAGAAGTGAGCAAATTAGCTGTTGTACATATTAATGCTGTATTGGTTGAACTTCGTCGCTTGTTACTTGCTGAAGACTTGGTCGACTCGGCCAAATTCTTTGGTATTCTCTGGGTGTTGACATATGTTGGTGCCTTGTTCAATGGCCTTACACTCATAATTATTGGTACTTACTGTCTTTTTTATATAAATATATTATATAAGATTATTTCTTTATTTTATTTTTTCTCAGGATTTGTTGCTCTGTTCACATTACCCAAAGTTTATGAGAACAATAAGACTCAAATCGATCAAAATATTGAAGTGGTTAGAAGCAAAATTGCTGAATTGACTAACAAGTGGGTTTTATTATTATTATAATTTGTCGGTTAATAGGACAATTGATGTAACCCTCACTTTTTACAAAATCGATGTTTTGATTGAATTTTATTATTTAGATATAAATATATTATCCATTTTGGCCAAATATTGTAACCCTCACAAGCATTTTTCTAACTTAAAATTCACTTATACATTTTTTTTTTTTGATGTAAGCCACATCAACAATCAAATGTCAAATAACGTAAGCCACAAGGTTTACCCGAAATTGTGTATTCAATTAAATGTTTGTAGGCCAACTAGTGTAAGCTACAACGTAACCCTATACAAAACTTATACCGAATCTACAGTTGAATTAGCCAATTAGTGTATCCCACTTGAACTAATTTATTGAATTAATTTTGTTTTTAATTTTTATCATTTAAGTAGTATTTTATTATAATAATACGATTGTTTTATTTACTAATCGAGTGATAAACTGATTATGTGATAACATTATAATTTAATACGGTGAAGTTGGTATTATGTGGTGTATAATATAACCATTGAATTGGAATRCTCACCCGCACGGTTTAAGATAGTTGAGGGTTACATTATTTGGAATTTTTTTTATTTAGTGTCAATTGTAGTAACCATCACCATAAAACATTAACCCACAATAATTAATATTATGAAACTCTAAGTAATCTATCCAATAGGCTAGTCAACTTTGGAGTAATMTACAATAAATTACATTTTGATTTAGCGTAGTAAGCATAATATTTATACATAAGTATACCAAGCTTAAGTCTTTTAATAAAAAAATTCAACAATGTAGGTTATAAGGATTACAAAATAACTTTATTTTARTGCCTCCTGTAAAATTTCATTTTTGAGGGTTACATCAGTTGTCCTATAAACTGATGATATAATATGTCTATAGCACTTCAGGAGAGTACATATGTATTTATTGTATCTTTTTATGAAACACATATATTCCGCCAAGCCTATTAAATTTTGAAAGTTTTATCATTGTTCTCTTGTCAGTTTTTATTAATGTATTAATCTTAGAATAAATAATAAGCTTTTTTAAATTCTAATATATTTCATATTAGTATTATTTATTAAACTCACTTTAATATTAATTTATCCCTCCCTCCTCTTGAAAAAAAATTGGCAAAAGAATAATACATACATAATATTGTGTTTAAATCTGACAGTTGATCAAAAATTAAATAAATATAATCTGCTTTAAGTGCGTGAATTGCTTATATATTTTTATTTTTACGACAACAAATACATGTGTAGGCATGATTTTAATAGCAATAATTTATATTGTGTTTTAATTATTGTAATAATTTTATTTCAGAGTCCGAGCTGCTATTCCAATCGGAAAAAAGAATCCAGAGACAAAAAAGAAGGAATAAACTCCCTTATTTTTTATGTAAAAGTCCATCAAGATTCTTGTGGTCGATTATTACAATTTTAGGCCAACATTTTTTTTTTTTTTTTTTAATATATATTTATATATATTTAGACTGTCGTCCCAGTAAAATTAAACATTTATACTATTATTAAAATACCCATTGCTCCCGTTTTAAATAATTTATATTGTATCACGGGAAAATATGTGTAGATTGTCTTTCGACATWACTATTTCACCACATAATGTAACCGTGTAAAGGTTTGTGAATTATTTCATTTTTATTTTCAGCCTGGTTCAGCTTTGCTCATTTTATTATTCTGCCCTCCTC